TCTTTTCCTGCTAGCAAAAGGAACATATGCCCCATTAAAATGCCCTTATTGGGCATTTTTGTTGGCTTGTCACAGTGTTTATGTAATTCATTCTCACTGCATTTCTGATTAAAGTGGGACAGATGGTGAAGGGTTTAAGTAATGTCTTCATTTCCAGACCTCATACCACTAATGGTTATTTACTGGAACAGTGGATTGTTCAAACAAGTAGAAAATGAATCCTTCTCCAGGGGGAACCCACCACCAGGGCAGCATTTATCAACCTTGGTTGTGGTTGTTCACTTTTAATTTTCATTTCCTTTTTGAACTCATGCCTTGTTCTGATGAATACAAAACTCTCAGTAACCCCATTTTCATACACACATTCCCCACCTCAGAAGCCCCTCCTTAGAGCCTGTCTACTCAATGTCTCCCTAAACCAAGAAAATGTTGCCAAGCTTTGTGTGTGTCTTTGTCATAAATGATCTCTGGTGGTGTAGTGCCTAAGGCATTTGACTGCTAACCAGAAGGCTGGTGGTTCAAAGCCACCAGCCACTGCTTGGAAAGAAGATTGAGCAATCTACTTCTGTAGAGAAACCACATCAGAAATGCAAGGAGGGGTCTCTGTGAGTTGGATCTGACTCTATGGCTCTATGGCAGTGTGTTTTTTTTGTTTGTTTGTTTATATATATATATACAGATAGATATAGAAATATATAGATATATATAGTTTTATTTGGTTGATTTTACAAATATAAAGTATCTTTACATCAGTTTTTTAAAATTCCTGTACATTGTCCCTACACTCCATCCCCACCTACCTCCAACTCCCAGAGACTCCAGTGGTCCTTCCCCAGAGAGTTGCTGAGCTAGAGTGTTCTTGGAAGGTTGCTGCATGGCCTTGCTCAACTATGGGCATCTTCACCTACTCTCTAAACTCATGCAGCTCCTATAGACAGACCATATTTATGGGTCAGTATCAAGATTGGAATTTTCCGAAAATGTTCTACCAGCATCTTAGGAAG